GTATGAAATATATAGTAACTTTGGCTACATTTTCTCACTTAGTACTATTTTTTTCTAAACGTGACTAAAACAGTTTTATTATTTTCATGAAAACTTTATTAGAGTATTTTAATTTAATATTCTTAAAGATAATGAAGTGCCTTTTCATTATCGTATTAAAAATACCCATTTTATTGAATTAAATGCTTTAGAAACATTTCATGGTACATGATCTCACCAAGTGATTTATAAAGATTTATTTATTTATTTATTTTATTTATTTACAAAGTAAAGTAATAAAACTTTATTTTATACATGTGGATGAGTTAACTGAAGCACAGTGATGGAAATTCATTTTAAGATAAAAAAAAGTGTAAATAAATATTTGTATGAAATTTAGATTCTAAATTCCTTTTTTTTAACTTGATGTTCTGTTTTCTGAAGGCAATAACCTGGAGAAGGCACTGAGAAAAATCAGTAGAGAGGACATTGTTAATAAGTGCATGTTTAATGTAGAAGTTATTACTGATGATGTAGAGAAGGCAGTTGCTAAAGCACATCTTGACCAGTCAGGTAAATATTTGCATTTAGTTTTCTTTGTTTGGTTTTTGTTGTCTTGTGTTGAAATAAATCTCTAGAGAAGAACTCAAAATCATAATATTACATCAAATCAGTTACAAATATAACCAACAAAAGATAATTATACAGATTTGTTTTTTGTAAATTATGTTAATTCTCAAAACACTTGGTTTCTTTCTTTACCAATTTCTGGGAAGAGAAAGGATGTTAAAATTATGTTAATATACTTGTCCAAAAAGTTGTCTTAAAAACAAACATTGTACAAGTTTCTGTAAATCATAACTTTCTCCAGAAAATTTTGAGGAAACTACCAGTAATTAACTTAAACAATGAATTAGTGAAAGAGATTAAACATTTTTCCATATCTGGGTTATAACTGCTACTTGTATATATTTCTGATAATGTGTGTAGGTAATTCAATGTGCAAAAGCAGATACATGTTTCAATTCTTAGTGCACTTGTTCATAATGTATCGTCAACCTTCTTATGTCAGTACTTTGTAAGCTGGTATATTGATTAGCATGTGATGAAGTTGAAAAGTCATTTTTAATTGATTTGTAGGTATAGGCAATATATTTTTGTAGGGTATATGTAGGTGATGGGATATGATGTAGGACATTTATATTTTTTAGTACAGGTGACATTGCAGTAAAATAACTTAGCATTTGAAGTTAATTGTGTTTTAGTATTTGTAAAATCATCAAACTTCTGGCAACTCAGTGTACAATAATGATAACAGTAGTATGTACTTTAAAGTCTGTTAATATTAATTTAGTTATATTTCAGCAACATTTGAAGCTACTTCATTTTTCAGTAACTACATGTTTTATATACACTTGTAGCTTTCTGTTTTCCTTTCATGTTTTTGTCAATTTTAAAAGTAATTGTCTATAAGTTCTGTAATGTTTACAGTATCATTAGACAGTTTCTTTACTGGTTTCTATTGTTCTGCAAAAAATTAGATTGGTTGTTATGTAAGATATAAATTTCAAATGAATCAGTATGGAGAAACTGCATTAATTTATCTTCACTATGCACTGATACAGTTAATTGTTTGTCCATTTAGGATTTGATACCTTGAAAGATGAACTTGGTTCCTCACGAGATACCTCACTACAACAAGATATTTCTTTTAATGTGTCTTATGATGAACTGGACATAATGAAAGTATGTGTATTTCATTAAACTGAATATTTTTTTATGTTCTTGTGTTCTTTTTAGATGCAATCTTTTTGTTGTTGTTTTTACAATTTTTACATCTTCTGTAAACAATGATTTGACCTATAAACTGTGTATTAATTAATCTTTTTTTTTTTTACTATTCATAGCATAGCTCATAGGAAGAATATAATATTTACTAAAGCTAACCAAATTAAAACTTTTTTATCATTTAATAAATTCATAAATCTGAATTTGGGCAGTAGTTTAATTATTTCATCTTTTTTTGCTTCTAAAGTTAAGGAAAATTATTGGAAACCAGTATGCATAATTCATATTACTGTTGTAAAATCTTTCTAAAGTAAATTTTACAGTTTATGTGGAAATCATAATGACTTCCTTTAAAGACTTTTTCATTTCTTGATAAACTCATTATTGACCTTATAAACTGCAACATATTCTGTATGAGTGTACGTTTTATATGCTGAAACCGTATAATATAGTTCACTGATGTTTGTAATTGTGCAGAGACCAGTGTGGCATCAGCTTCTTCTTGATGAGGGAAGGCTGTATGCTACATCTTGTGGGCACATATACTGTAGTACTTAGGAAGTGAATTAGCTTTAATATTAAGCATTTCTGTTGGAAGTGGAGGCTACAAGGTAGGCACATATTGGTATAGCCCCCACAAAGCAGGCCTCCCCCCTTACCAGTACCTTCAGCAGAAGCAAATGTTTTTTGTGCTGGCTTATGGTTTTGTAGCTTTTTAGAGATAACTGGCTGAATAGTAATACCCACTCATAGTTATTACACAATCTGGCATTGTTTACAGAAGAGAAGAGAAGCTTGATCTGCAGGTAGTGCTGTAATAGAGGTTGATTCTAATAAATTAACAGATAGTTATCCTTTAGCATAATTCTTACTCTTTTAAGCCTGATTGGCAGTGGTTCTAAGGAAAGCATTTTATAAATGTTATAAAAAAAATAACATTAGCTTAAGTCATATACATGTAAATACAAATGCTAATAACTCCTAATCATTCTGTAATCAAAATGTCTAATATGAAATAATGGACATAGTCAATTATAATAACCAGACTTTCTACCGAGATAGTGTGTGTTACACTAAAATAATTTTAGGGCCTCATCACGTCATCACAGACCAAGTGGTCATGCTCTGTCTGAGGAATGTGCTTCTTGAATATTTCAGTAGCTTAGCTTCCATTGCAAAATACATCATCATAAGGCTGTCATGCTCAAAGCACACTACTCCTCCCCACATGCTTCCAATAAGCTATTTAGCTTACAAGAATGACTGTTTCACAGCTCCCATTTCAACTGTCCAATCACATAGACATCTATAGGTTCTGTATCAGGCAACTGGGCCAGTATGTTTTCATATAGAATACCTCTTTAATCCTCCAGCAGTTTGCTGTATGTGACAGTTGAATTCTAGACATGATTGGAAGTCTTATCTTGGTGAACCCATACCCTGATTGCCTAATTTCCAGATAGAGATAATTTTTTATTATGTTGTGCATTGTTGCCTTCATCATATGGACACTTTTTCCACTGACCTTTGTGTTTGTGGATTCTTATATGTGATAAGATGGCACACTTTTTGTGATATTTTGCAACAGAAAGGGCTATTCCAATACGATATCTTACCTCCCTCTCACAAAATAGCTTTTCTCAAGTAGTACTGCCCTTTACTGGCACAAATTTTTAATGCTCACCACAAGCCTTCTACTTTCCACTTCTGCATATCCACATGTAAATGATTATGCAGCAGCTCTCCACCAGTAAGAGCGTGACACAACCCCTATCGTAATTAGCCCCCTCTTCACATTTGCACTTATTAATCACTTCTCAATTGGCAGTAGTACTGTACAGACATGCTTGTTTTTGCTTGCAAATTTGTCAACGTTTTTCTTTGTACTACAGACTTAGTTTTCTCTACTATGTTTATGTTATTCCTTTATTTACAGGGGCCTTTTTGCTAGTATATTGTGAATCCCACTGTGTGGTGAGTGGTACCTGACCAGGTACACTTTTTTTTTTAAATCTGCACTGTCCATCCTGTGACCATGCTCGATGTCAATTGTAAGTCTTCCTACTGCAGACCTGATGAACAATTCCAGACGCTGTCAGATGTTGGTTATGTGTCTCCGTTCAGTTGTCATCTATGCCGAAACAGTTATATCACAGGTTTAGGTTACACACACTTTAGAGATGGGGTATTCTATAGGATTGCTAGTAGTTCTCTCTGATGGTCTTTTTGCTTCCTAAGTATGTTCATTCCAGACCATACACTCATGGACACACATAAATAAAGCAGACTGAGATTGCTGTCCATTTCTGATGCTCCATGGAGTTGAGACTTTTCCTACTGTGCCTGACATACAATTCCAGATGCCACCGGGTGTCGGTTGATCGACTCCATTGACGTGATAGCTCTCCATTTCAAAATAGGGTATCACAGTCACTTGTTGCACTGTCTTCAGTGATGTAGTCCTCCAGATTCTCCAATGAGTTTTATTCTTCTTTCTTCTATTGGAGTATGGGAGTCCTTGCCACTTACAAGTTCCTAGCCACTAGGGTGGTGGTCCATGGAAGCCTGTCCTCCTGAGTGATGCATCATACCACTCAGTTGAGAGTTTGGCAGTGGCATTCTACGGGTGTCAATGGCGTATAGCACTTCCTACTATGGGCCTGATCTACAATTACAGATACTGCCAGGTTTTGGCTGTAGCACAATGCCCTATTAATGGATATATGTATCTGATAAGTTGCTTTTTTCCCACTGCGGCATTCCTCTTTCTTACCATCAGTGGGTCTTGTGTTGGCTGGAGATGGCCTGGTCATGATTAGAATGTAGTTTGCTCCTCAGGTTGAGATGTTCTTCCTACCTACCATCCTCTGGATGTGGTTCCCCGAGGATCAGGTGTTGGTTGGAGATGGTCAAGCTCAGTAAGTCCTCACATGTGTTCGGGCCAGTATCCCTTCTCCTACTGTGGACTGAGATGTACCTCCAGTTTGTGGTCCCTCTTCCTACTGTCTACTGAATGTTGGTTCCCGAAGGATCTAGTGTTCATTGTAGCTGGACACAGCACATGTATTCCCACTTATGTACAGCCAGGTGTACTCCTCCTACCACAGCCTGGAAGAACCATACCCAATGCTGCCAGGTTTTGGACCACAGATGTCATTTCACCAAAGCTTTTCTCCTTCCTACCATCCACTGGATGTCGGTTCTTAGTGGATAAGGTATTGGTTGGGTTGGAAATACATGCTTGTCTTCCCTACCAATTTCTGTTTCGAGGTGAAGAGGTAGGTGATTCTCTGCCTACCACGGAACTGCTGTACAATTCAAGATTCTGCCAGGTGTTGGATGTGATTGAATTACCACAATGGTCTGTTATACCCTAGCTACTCCACATCTAGGGATCCCATTAATCTGTAATATGTATTATTGAATTCCTTTATGTTTTTCTGCCTTTTTATGTTTGTGACACAGTCATAAAAGAGTGAAGAGTATACCTGGATCAGATGTGGTGTGGTCTCCCATTGAAGTGTGATATTTTCTTTTTTAATTCCACACCTCATGATCTCTCTTTGGGTGCTTCCTAAAGAGAGTGATCATTTTTTCACTGGCCCTCCATCAGTTCAGTGTGAGATTCTAGCTATTTTGTGAGAGGAGGTAAAATATCTTATCAGAAGTTAACATTTTCCTAAACTGTAAGTGTATTTCCGATAGATACGTACCTTCTCTCACATTTTCCACCCAGCCTCCACTTCCAGTGGTTATGTGGTGTAGGTCTTCTGACCAATCTCGAAGTGATTAATGAGTGCAAATGTGGAGAGGACACTGGTTACGATAGGGCTTGTGTCGAACTCCTATTTGTGGAGAGCTGCTGCTTAATCATTTACATATGGATATGCAGAAGCTGGAGGTGGAAGGCTAGTGGCGAATGTTGAAAATTTTCACTGATAGACGGCAGTACTAATCAAGAAAACTATTTTGTGAGTGGAGGTATCTATTGGAAATACATATTCAGTTTAGGAAAATGTTAACTTCTATTCCCCTCTCTTTTTATTTTTGATTATTTAGTTTAGTCTTTGTTTCAGCAAAAGCTTGAAATTTTTATTACATATTTTGACCTATTAAGTCTTGAGAGATTTATTGTGTGGGCTGGGTATAGCCTAGTAGTTAATGTTCCTGAACTGTAATTTGGGGATGTTGGTATGCTGATGGTCAAGTAGTTGAAGGGTATTGTTAAATAGCTGCCTTTCCTCTAGTTTATCAGTTCAAAATTTGGGATTGCTATATGGAGATAGCCCTTGTGAAGCTTTACAAGTAAGTTTGATTCTGGGTTTAGTGTGTAAGTGGTCAGTAATTATTATCTGTTTTAGCGGGTCTTAAACTAGTTAAGATAAATTGTAATGACAAAGATTTTCATGATCTAAATCCCCACAGGAGGCAGAATCTGCTGAGGAAACCAGCAGTGAATCTGATTCTGACCATGAAATACAATTGCCTAGTACAGTAGAAAAGAAACCAGAAGAAGGTAGGTGTTTAATCTAATTCAGTTCTTCAGTCAGCTGCTACATGCATATGTGAAATCTGTTTTCTGAGTTGAGTTGCAGTTTTGCAAATTTTTTAATATTGATTTTTGTCAAATATGTGCTTGATATTTTTACCACTTTTCTAACAATTTCAATTAAATCCCTTTTTTGTCTTAAATTAGGTGTTTTATTAGAATATATCAAAAGAGATTTAGCAACTTTGTGTTTACTGATAATTTATCACTAGCAAAAGTGAATATTATTTTAAACTAGATATGTATAGTAATATGCAATATGTACCCCTGTACTATGTCAGAAGCATTATATATGGACAAACTTTGTATTAATTATCAATTTACCAAACACTGTGACTGTTTAAATAATATGTTATGTATCTCATTTATGATATTTCTTCATTCATCTATAATCAAGACTCATAAAGTTTGGGATGGGATTCTATTTTTTCCACATTGATCCCAAGCCTCAGATCATAAATCCGTAGAGACTCCTTAACATGGCAGCTTTATTCATCATTGGCCCTAGGCAAGATCTTAAACAAACATGAATTGGCAAGTACATCATATTCACCTATGGCATGTGTGAGTATGTTAGACTTAACTAAAGATCTAGCATTAGCACAGATGAACAATGCTTCTGTATTAAGGAGTCTCTGCTGATTTATAAACTGATGCCTGAAATCGGTGTTCTCAGTTTGACTTATAACTTACTAATAAAGCTTAAAATGTAACATTGAGTTATTTTATTTATTTTTTATTACTATAACTAATACAAAATGCGAGTATGTTACATTAAAGTGATTTTGGATATGCAAATCAGCAAGTCATGTGAGTCTCACAGCCGATATAATGTCGTTGTGGAATAGAATCTATTAGAACTACATTTGACATTGTTTTATGGGTAGTATGATGCCACCAAAAATTGGTTGCTTTTAGAAAGGATATGCAACAGCTATTTCCAATGCAACATATTCATACACTCAGATCATAAACATGAGCGCAGATTAAGAATTTATAATTTCCAATAAGGGGATATCCATTATATTTAATTGCATTGGAAAACAAAGGAATTAGCTTTGGGCACCAGGACCATCCAGAAAGAGATCTACAACAAAATGTACCCTACCAATGGTAAGCAAAGTATGGTATTTTGTAACAGGTGAGGATCCAAGAATACAAACTTCAGTGGCAAATGTTCACCATGTATACAGAAACTGCTTCTTTGATAACCATTCTCCCATTGCATACCTCAAGCAGCTAGAGAATGAATTGGGTGTTCATACTATTTCTTACAAAGACATATTGGTAAGGTTACCAGATGTAGTGCTTAGGAATTTCTGTGTGATTGAACTGTTGAAATGGTCTCTGGTAAACTATTGTCCTCATAAACTAGTTGGATTATGGAAAACAAGGAGGGATTTGGTGTGCTGTTGACCTGACAGCTTTACAACTGAAACTTTTGCAAGGGAAGCTGTGTACAGAGGTGTTGTCAAGATGCAAGGCCATCAGACAGAGCATGACCATAAATGGCAACATGGACTGTAATGACATGATGAGATTCCCAAATCATTTTAGTATAACATACTCAACCTCTTTATATCTACTACATTTGTTACTGTTTGTTTCTAATGTTAAGTGTAATATCTATCTTTATAACCTGTGTTTTTCCTTTATAGTTCTAGGTTTTTGACAAATGCAGGATAATATGAGGTACAAGTAATACAAAGAGAATATCTGACAAAGCATTAATGGGGTTTTTAAGTCCTTTTCAGTCACCACTAAAGTAATCTAAAATAATTTAGGTATTTGAATAATGTTAGAGCTTGTACCTAAAGCATTATTCCATATTATTTATCAGACCAGGTATTTAATGATTACTTATATATGATACAGATTTCTTTCTCACCAAAGGTAAAATAAAAAGATAATCTGTGATGTAGAGGCTTAATGCTTTCTTTGGTTAGCCGTGCTCTCTGCTGTAGACTGCAGTTTAACCTATTCAAGGCTCATCAGCCCAGCTTGAGCTAGAAAAACCAAGGAAATACAGTTAGGCCTCTTATAATGGTTAACTGTATTTAATGTTAATGGGGTTTTTTAGTCCTTTTTAATCACCAATAACTTAACCTATGCTAATTAGGTCTTTCAATAATGTGAAACTGCTGTCCACAGCAGAGGGTATGGCCAATCAAGGAAAGCATTAGGCCTCTAAATCACACATTTATTTTTTGATTTTACCTTTGGTGAGAAAGAAAAGAAATCTATAACATATATATGTAACCTGACAAAACAGTTGCATGTGTTTCATATTAACTCAGAGGACTCTCAAATAGTAAATCCTTTCATGTCACTGTATATCAAATTAAGCAATATTTGTTTGAGATAAAAAAAATTATGTATTGCTTAGTGTAAGATGATGATTGTTATAAACCAACAGTGCATTTTTAATCTAAAATATCTTCTAAGCATTCTATTTGAATGAAATTGATAATAAGTTTGAAAGTATGTTTAATATTTGATTTTTAGCATATTCATTTGATGATTATATGCATATGAATGTCATATCAAAATATTTCTTTTATTTCGTATTGCATCTCAAAAATCTTAACATTTTAGGCATTTTATTTTTTCCAGTATATTAACACCTGCACATGACTAAAAAGTTTTCCATGGCTTACCACTGTGTGTGATTAGTATTGGTTTATTTTAATTTTTTTTTTAAGTTATATTTTCTTTCAATAATCATAGTCTATAACTTATTATATTCTTGGTGTTAATTATGTATGCATGAATTTTATTTTTTAAACTCTTTATACCTATTTTTATTCTGCATGTTTTGATGAATGTTGCATGTTTTTGAAGAGTATTCTGGTGCTTGCAGTATTTGCTTGCTGAATATAAGTTTTTGTTCGGACACTGTTTCAACATGTGTCTACTTTTGCTTGAGAATGAGGGCAGATTTAGTGCTTTCTATGTAGCAGCAATAGCCTTTCATTACCATCTGAAATGCTTAGTTTATTAAAGATAGGAGAAAACTAACCTTTTAAATGCTGTTGGAGTTTTCAACACACTATCAATGGCACTTTTCAATTCCTAGTTTGCCAACTACAGCATGTACCTCAAAAAGAGGTAAATATTGAGCTATCTGTGAAATTGACTTCTCTAGAGGAAACTGAAAAAGTGGAAGAAAACATGAAACTCAGTTTTGAACAAGTGTCTGCATTAGAACCATCAGAAACAAAGACAGAGAAACAGGAAGATTTGACAAAGTTGGAAGGTGATATTGACAGTGAAGATGAACTGTCATCTTTTGAGAGTTAGAAAAGCCTTTAGAATGGTTAAAAGATGCTGATTCTGCAATTAAGTTACAATCTTCTGGAGAACAAAACTTTGAAGCTTCAGAAACATCTGTAGAGCAAGAAGAGAAAGGTAAACAAGGAGGTATTTTTGAAACTGTTCCTGAAAGAGACGAAACAGAAGAAAAGAAATGGGAAAAACTTGAAAATCTTGAAGAAGAACTTGGAGAAGAAGAACTCTCACCTTTTGAAGAGTTAGAAAAACCAGAAGAACAGCTGAAAGAAGATAGTTCAATGCTTGAATATGAAAATACTGAGGAAAAATTTGAAATTGACCAAAAATGGGAAAAACTAGAAAAGCCAGTAGAATCGCTTATGATAGATTCAAAAGTCATACCTGGAACTGAATCAGACCCTCCTGTAGAAGAAAAAGAAGAAAAGTTTCAAGAACTAGAAATACCATCAGACATATCTATGTTTGAACCTGAGTGTGTTTTAGATAGATCTGAAACAGAAGAACACAAATATGAAAATTTAGGTATATCAGATACTAAATCAACAGTTGAATCTAAAGGTCTTATAGAGTGCCAAGAAATTAAAGAGCAGAAATCTGAAGAATTACTTCCACCAGATGCATCTAGAGTTGAACATGTACTTACACCTGAATCTGTCACTGAATATTTTGAAGTAAAAGATCAAAAAGGTATATCAGATACTAAATCAACAGTTGAATCTAAAGGTCTTATAGAGTGCCAAGAAATTAAAGAGCAGAAATCTGAAGAATTACTTCCACCAGATGCATCTAGAGTTGAACATGTACTTACACCTGAATCTGTCACTGAATATTTTGAAGTAAAAGATCAAAGGCTTGAAGACCCCATTGTTGAACCTGATGTAGATACAAGAAATGATTCGGTAGAAAGAGAGATTCTTAAAGAAATTCAAAAAGAAGTAGAAACTGAAATCATACAAAAGGTTAAGCCAGAGTTTGTTGTGGAAGCAGAACCAGAGAAAGAAACTGAGGTAATAAAAGAACCAAAAATTATACCTATGACAGTACCTACAACTGTTGTGGAGAAAACAATGGTAAAGGAGGAGGAACTTGAAAATTTTGAAGTAACTGATAAAAAAACTGATCTGATCCAAACAGAAGTTGAAAATCAAAACATAAAAGAGTTAGGAAGCACAGAAGAAATAAAACCTGACCCTAAACTCTACCACAACAAAACAGAAATGGAAGAGCAGAAGTTTGTTGAAGTAGAAATGTCAGGGAAAGAGGAAGTTGTTTCTGAAACTGATTTTTGTGTAGGAAGACCAGAAATCGAAGAATTAAAAGAAGTTAATGATATAACTGAACCTGACATTTTTGCAGATGTAAGAGAAGTTGAAAAACAGGAACTTGAAGACTTCAATTTAGAAAAACCTGAGGACGTGAAACATATGTCTTACCCTGAGCTTATTACACAAAGGTCAGAAACAGAAGAACAAAAGTTTGAGAAAGTGGAAAAGCAAGAAGGTAGGTTTTAGTTTTGGTTCTTCTAAATCTTTACTTGTCTGGTCTTCCATTTTTAGTTTCTCATCAAAAAGTTCTGATTCAACCACAAAATTAACTTGTTTGCCAACTTCTGGATTTTCTACAATAGTCTCAGTTTCAGCTACAGTCTTGACATTTGTTTCAAGTGGTATTTCTAA